TTTTTAATTTTTAATTTTTAATTCTATCATATATAAGTAAAATTTGTTATAAAAAAAATTGACCATTTAATTATTATTTTTTAATTAATCTTTTTGATTGATTCATCTTATATAATTTTTTAATCTAAAATTTATACTGTTTTAAAATTATTTTTTAAAAATTATTTGTTCACATAATTTAAAGTACCAAAATCTTTCAATTTTCATGGGTACTATAGCAGTTTCCTTATATTTATCCTAATGGTTCAAATATTTAATTATAACAAAAAAAAAAGAAATATCAACTTTAAAAGAAAAAAAATATAGAAAAATAATCATAACTTTCCAAATTTTAGATGCATGAAAAGAACTTTTTAATTTTTAATTTTACAAATTTTAGCTATTATTCATTTACTCCAAACATAATTTATTTTGCAATTATTTTTAAAAAGATGAAATTCGAGAGAAAAAAAGTGTCCAACGATTAACTCTTTCATTTCATTTTATCATGTAAGATTGGAACAAAAATATATTTTTTTTAAAAAACAAAAATATCTAGACGCAGCTCAGCTCTGGTTCCTGATTTCTTTTTATTGTATTTTATTTTATTTTAAGGCTTGTTGCGACATAACGCTCTTCATTCAAACGAACTGAAACGACATATCGCAGAACCAAGGGTTTCGTTTCTTCTCTCGCAACTTTCATTCCTTCTGCTTGCAGATTTCTGCTGCTAAACTGATGAATCAAGCGCCAAAATCCCTATGAATCAATCATCTACCGTTTCAATTTTCCGAAACCTCGCAGTAGCTGGTTCCCTCTCTTTCTCTTTTACGATTTCAGTAGCGCATCTTAGACCCTGAAATTTGATGCTTGTGTCGTTTAGAATATGTTTATGCATTTAATTTTTGGATTTTATTTTATTTTATCTTCGTTTGATTGATTAATTTGGAACTGTAGCGATTAATTCTTTCATCTTAATTTTGTTTAAAAAAATTTGAAGCTGTGCTGAATTTCTAGATTTTTTTTTATAATTATTATCATTATTATTATTATTTATTATTTTAATCTTTCATTTCATCTATTGAAACGTTACAGTTCGATTTATTTATATATGTATTTAGTTTTTCTGTGCTGTTAAACTAATGAAGCCTGAAACTTGATACCCTCGATGCAAGTAGGACTAGCCATTGGTTGAAGAGGTTGGCATTAATTTATTCACGAGTCTGTTTAATAGGCGCTGTAACTGCTAGCCAGTACTTTAATTTCTGCCTGTTTCTGGATATTTGCACAAGTCTTTTTGCCTTGTCTTGATTGTTTGATTCACTGAGATTATTTGCATTATAATCTGACCAACTGTGTTAGTGCAATTACAGGCTTGGAATGATGGATTCGAACTTACCGTCTCCAGCTCATGTCAATTCTGATACAAAAAATGCATTTCGCAAGCCTTCTGGTGATGCAGCTAATAGGAATTATCGGCGTCGGTCACCTATTGAGGGATCACCCCCATCTGATGGTTGGGATCTTTTAAGCTCTTGGTCTTATTTCTTTTAGAAGTTACCATGGTATTGTGATGAGCTAATTTGCTACTAATATTGGTAATTTGGCATTTGAAACTTTTTACTGTGTGATGTTCATGCTTGGTACTTCTTGTGACGGAAATTAGATAGGTGGTACTTTTAATATTGTTATCACATGCCGAATTATCTAATTTATGGGATTACTATACTCAAGGTTGATTCACTGTGTTTTTAGACTGCAGTTTCTCATGTATCTGAGAAAACTGATACTGTGTGTTGTATGCTTGTGATAAGCATAAGATGGGAATGTTGTTGCGGTTTCAAAAAATTTAAAACTCATGCACTGATAGCATGCATATTCTTTTTCTTTTGGCTGTCTATGTGGTTAGTGTTTTGGAAAAGATTTTAGTTAGTATGGCATGAATTTATTTTGCTATAGCTGGAATATAGTTTTTTCTCTAATTAAGGTGGGGATATACTGTTAACACTCCATTGTTATAATTTTTATGGAATTTCTTGATGGAGGAAAATTTGGAAAGGAATTATTTACTTATTCACATTGAGTAGTTTTTCAGTGGTGAAGCTTATGTGCTGAGGTGATCTTATTTATTATTTTTATGTGCAAGTGTGATAGTTAGTTCCTAGTACTCCCTGTTTTCTTTTGTCTGATTGAATATCTTCTCTCTTTCGCTTATCTGATATTGTTTTTATCAATATCTTATTCATCGTCTTTGATTGAAAGTTTTATCACTTGTGTCATGGAGCATGCTGTTAGTTTCCTAAAATTTGTTTCAGTTCATAGAATGTATGCTTGAAAACATAAATCCTAGCAGAAATTATGCCCTTGTAATCTTATGTACTGCAGTGGCACGAGTTAGCATTTTAAATTTAAAAGACCAAACTTATTTTATTCTTAATTAGAAATCTGATTTTGTTTTCTAGTATGGTCGAATGAAAATTTTAATTAGATTTCTTAGCTTGAAAATTTTCAATCGGACTAATTTTTAAGTAGATACTGTATGGCTTAGCCTATAATTTTTATGTTTTGCTTTAAATAAATTGGAATGGAATTACATCTGCGTGTTCTTGCATATTTTAAATGTTGTAGGATAGGAATGTTGAAGGGGAGGTGGTATGGCCTAAACAATACTTAATGGCTGTATGGCCTCTCCGTACTTTTCCCTCCCTTTTGCTTCCAACTTTTTTCTCTTCTTACCCTCCTTGTCATATAGCCAAGGGTATTACTGATTACAATTTACAACCCAATTCCTGCTTTCATCCCTTGTGTTTCTCCATCTGATTTAGCATTACAATACTCCCCTGCTGAAAGATTCACCTTGTCCTCAAGCTGAAGATTTGGAAAAACAGCCTGGAGAAAGACATCGAAACAACTTCCCATGTGCATATCTCAATCTGTTTAACTGTTATTTTAGGCCGGGTAAAGGTGGTTGTCTACAGGCCTTTAAACCTTTAGAAGTGAAGCAATATTGGATGCAGTGGCAGACCTTAGTTGGGGTGGGGGGCAGTCATGGCCTCCTCAAATTTTTTGTTTTCCTTTTCAAATGTGTGTATATATATTATGTTATAAATTTTTTTTGAAGTATACGTATTTAAATATTGTGGTCCCCTCAAAATATTTTCACAAGATCCACCTTGCTTGAATTTTTAAAGCCTAGTGTAGCGTCACATGAAAATGTTATGAGCCCTTGTGTTGGACTGAATCATGGGGATTCCTTACAACCTATAGTGAAGGCAAAGGAACAAACTTATCCTTGATCGAGTCTCTCTTGAACCAACCATGGAAGTTTTTTAAAGAAAATAGTTTCTGATGATCTTATTCTAGTCATAAAGTGCCTTTTTTAAAGGCTATGAATACTAATTAGATATCCTTATTGAATCATAATTGATAGAATCATATCTACATATATTCTAACAAAATCAAAACCAAAATTCAAAACTACGGCGATAAGGATTCTAATATGCAGATCCTTATCAAAGCATTCTTATTGAATTACAAAAGTAATTCCAAATTATTAAGAAATAAAAATCTAAAATTATCCTAATATGAAAAAAGAATAAAAATATGAAATTATCCTTCACGGTACTTAGAAGTAGCATGTAGCTGTCTATGTAGCTGTATAAGAGCAAGACGAGAAATAACATAAAAGGTTAGGAGGGGGAGAATTAGTCATGGGAGTCAGGAAATCCCAACAGAATCATGACAGTTGGCACAGAGGCAATGAGTGAGGGGATTTAGAAATCAAAGGGCAGTGATAACAAGGGAGAGTAACACTGATAGAGAGCTAAAAGCTACAGCTTCTAGAATCAGTACAAGCATCGTATGATACACAATACGTATTGTATAATACGATAATGGAGCCAGCGATTTGAATCACAAGGAGACTCGTTTTGGTGCATGAATTGCATCCAAATTGCTAATCAGATCAAAGGAATTACAATATCGTGCTGGATTGCCAATAGAAGTATGTTCTTGCCAATAGGTGACATGAATTCTCAAAGGTTTCACCCTACTTGATTGCCATATCCTTATGTTTTAGTAATTTGGTCTATTCGATAGAAGTGTGTTCTTGCCAATTAGGTTAGGATTGCAGGTTAGCTAACATGTGAGTCGGATGTTGATATTGAGCCAATGCAATAGCAATAGCTTGTTGCTTGCTATGAGATATGAAAGTGTATATGAATTGTGAGGAGTAGCTTCTGAATTAGCCAGGCCATGCAAATGGTTGCTTAAGGGGAAAATAGTTTGTTGTGAATGTGATGGAATGGATGTTAATGGCCAGTATGTTTGAATAGAAGGCACATGCAAAGCTTTTGATGCAGGAATAGGATTGGAGTAAGTGTCTTGTAGATCTAGCATAAGACCAAGTATTCTAATGGGATAAATTAGACCAATGAGTAGCATCTATTTTTTTAAAAGCCCCAACAAGTAATGTAACATTTTGATCATACTGATAGGTTGGTTTATAATAATTTCCATTTTATTAGAGGGATGAGATGTTCATGAGATAGGTTCAAACCCAATTGTAGCAAGGGCATAAGAATTTGGAAGATGTTGGCTAGCATTTACGGGTGGATGTTTGAACAAATGTGGCTCCACCAAGGCCAAGGTCTCAATATTACTTCTTACATGCACTGTCTCACAAAAACCTTTAGAAAGAGAAATAGTGAGACTGAAAAAAAACAAAGTAGATTGAAAAAGTAAGAAAAAGTGTTTACATTTGATTTCAAACTCATTATTTGACTCGAGAGTTTATAAGAATTTAAACAAGTTTTGAAGATTTTACTTGAAAAAGAGTATGTTATAAAGTTAAGTTGTTTTCTCTACTTACGATCGCAAAATCTTTTACTAGTTAATTCGAGAGTTTGATAACCTTGGCCCCATTTGATAAAGCCCTTCAAGCGTTTAGGTTTCAAGGAAGATTTGGGTCTCCTTGGGCCCATCTTAACATTATTCTTAGGATTTAAGCACAAGAGGAGAGTCCAAACCAAAAGACTAGTCCATTTGGTAGGAGAGCCTCATGGCTTAAGTACCACATCAAGCTTCTTATGTTACTCAATGTGAAACTTCTAATATTGTCACCCCTTTTAAGAGTTGACATCCATGGAGACTTTCACTCAATCGACATTGATCCAATAGTAGTTATTTTCTCTTTGACTACTTTACTCGCCTATTAGTATTCAGTGTTGTACTTTAATCCAGCCTATAAGTGGTCCATTTTGTAGATCAACTCTCAATGAAAGCACTAATTGTTAAGACATAAGCACAACAGGAGAGCTTAACTCAAAAGACTAGTTCATTCAGTGAGAGAGCCTCATGGCTCTAGTATCACATCAAATTTCTTTTGTTATTCAATGTGGAACTCCTAACAAATACACCATAAGAAGAGAAAAAAATAAAGAGAGGGTGAGTTGCACTAGCCATATGTAGCTGTCATATTTTCTTTCATTTTTAGCTTTGTCCCCATTTTCAGGGGATTTTGTCAGCTGTAGGAGTATGAGTTCCACTCCCTTAGTTTTCTGATAATATTCACTCATTTCCTGTTCTAACAAAATCCCTAAAATCACCTATTTTTCAGAAACAAGTTGGGTGACCTGACCTGTTCTGTGTGCACAACCTGCTGTGCAAGAATTGCACAATGTGACTGAGTTGCAATTCCTCCAATACTGAAGCGATTCACATGATTGAGCAAATAATTCAAGGTCAAAAACCTCTGATTGTGATATGTATCAAACTATGAAGATTTTGTATCATATCAGGATACAAGTTGTATGATATATGCAATTCTAACTACAATGGTGCCTAACAACCTGCCTTTCATCTTCCTCTTTTTTTCTTCTAAAAAGCCAAAAGTAAGTGTCTTTAATATTCGTAGCCACTTAAATGATTTACTGTTCATATCGGTTAATTGTTTTAGTGCGTGATTGGACACACACCCAACACATATGTATATTAATAAAATCATGTCAAATATCTTCAATCACACAGAAGTTGTGAATGGTTGCTTCTTTGAAACGTATGTAAAAGTGTAAAACAGAGGGAGACACAAAAGCAAACACGCTGTTACTAGTTCCTGCCTCTTATGTATTGAATATCATTCTATGCACATTTTGGCATAAATTATTGTATTTTAAACAGTTCACTTTTGAGTATGCACTAGTATCAATGTCCTTGTGCTGCAATTTGCCATAAACCATTTTGATCCAGAAGTATCTCTAAGAAATTGTGGTATGCCAAGAAATGAAATGAGAAAGAAAAGGAAGATTTTATTTCTTGATTGCAAAGAAAAAAAAATGGAAGATGTAACTTCCCCCCAAGGGACTTTAGAAAGGATTTTTCCTTTCACAAAGAGCTAAAGCTCAATTTACAAAAGAACATATAGGAATCCATTTTCTCACCTTCAGTCCTCCTATTTATTTATGACACTAACTCACTATGACTAATATTTAACTGTCCCTTCTCTGGTGTTTTGCCTAATATACAGCTCTGCAATACTGATCAGTGTTACGAAATTCAATACTAAGCATGCTGCATATGAAGTAAGACTTGAATAAATAAGTTTATGCTCTTCTCAATATGCAGTTAGTCCTAGGCATGGACATAGCTCAAGTCCAAATCCAGTAAGAGAAAATTCTGCAAGAGTCTCTCACCATCATTCAAGGAAGTATGATGACAGGGAACAAGGCCAACAATATGGAAGAAATCACTATGGAAGAAGCAGTGATTCTCTTAGACATTCTGATAGGCAGTCATCCAAGAGTTCCTATGGTCACTTTCGGCATGAGAAGTATGCCAATGAAGATAGATATCGTGAGAGGCCATTGTCTCGTTCTGGACATGAGTCAAGGGATGGTCATATGAGAGATGAGAGTGATAGCAGGTCAAAAAACTACCAGCACGGTGTGGACAAGTATTCACGTGACAAATATGACAGGTCTGATCATAGAAGCAAAGAAAAACGTAGAGAAACATACTTGGAGCATCAGAAATATAAAGATATAGATTCTTCATATGACAAATCTGTATCTGGCAAGAGGCTTGCACTGTATGGTGAGGTGGAGAAGGAGGGGCGTTCAAGGGACTGGGATGGTCGAAATGAAAGAAGAGATTCCCGCAGAAGTTCAGGGGATTACAGAAGTGAGCAAGCAGTCTGCTATTCAGATTCATGGAACCAAAGGGATGACTCAGGTCCACAAAGAGATGGCAAATTTAGTCTGAAAGAAGCTTACAAGAGTGAACAGGAGTCAAATGATCAAAACCATCCATGGGAAGGAAAAAGAAAACATGATGACCCTGAGATTGGGAAGGGCAAAGACTGGAAAACTAGGAAAACAGGCGAGCAGTATGGTATTGAAGATAAAGAATCTTCTGGAACAAAACTAAAGTTGTTTGATCCTGTCAACGATGACAATTATAAAAAAGATGGTATTGTTTACATATTTTTTGTACCGATTCTTGATATGATTTGTACTTATAGGTGATTATTGTATACTTTTTTTTGTCATGTACTGAAGCTGATGAAAGTAAGACTTCAAGTTCAAAGCTTTCTCATGAGAACAAGGCAGATTTACAGGCTGCCAAGACCAGTGGCTTTGATGGTGACAATGATCTGGATGCTGCAAAAGTTGCAGCCATGAGAGCTGCTGAATTAGGTATACACTACTTAACCGGAAAATTCCCCGACTTTTAGGTTATGGACATGTGTCCGGTATTCTATGATTGATTGGATTCTTATGAATTGAAGATTCATGATTTTAATTTTAACCATTTGCTGAAGTCGAATTGATGTGGATTTGGAGCATGCCATTGACTTGGTTTTTCTTTTTCTAAATACATGTCTTCTATTAAGTCCTTACTTTTATTTTGCCCATAGATTAGTTTATTTCTCCTAATAATCTGTGTTGAAGTCTTCAACATTAAAAAATGGTTTTAGTAAAGCAGCTAGATACACGAGACTGAAATGAAATTTTATATCACATGGTTGTTGTATTCATCTGGAAATTTTGGTGTATGACAGTTAATAGGAACTTAGTTGGGGCTGGTTGCTTGACTACTGACCAAAAGAAGAAATTGTTGTGGGCTGGCAAAAAGAGTACACCAACTGAAGAGGTATTTTATGTTTTTCTTTTTTTGGCAGCATTCTTACCTTCACATATAGCATGGTATAAAAGACAGTAATTTTTTATTTGGGATTGATGCTTAATGAATGATTCTGAAGTTAAAATGAACTATATTAGTGTAATTCACATTTTAGGCTTCCGTTTCTTTGGAAATAGTGCTTTACAATTTAGATAGCACCAATGTGAAGTTTTGAGACCAGAGGTTAAAAGTGCACAGGTGATGATGACCAGTTCTACAATACAAATTAAATTTATTGTGTAGGAATACTAATAGGAATCTGGTTCTTATTTGAATGAGAATGTATTGTATTATTGAATTGAAACAGTATAAGATTCTGAAGAAACAGAGCAATGCTCCCAGCGAAGGGAAGATTTCCTTTAACTCCAAGCTAATGCCAACTTATCAACAACTGAAAAAGATCCCTCTTCACTTCCCCATCTAACCGAATACATAATTTCCACTTTACCTCTTTCTTTTTCTTCTAACTAATCTCCCTCCTAAATCCTTTTCTTGGGCCTTAGAGAATATACCAACATAGGCTTGTCAGTACTAGACCTATCCTTTGTAGCTTCTGGGTCAGCTGTGTAGATTGATGATTTGAAAGATAGAAGCCTATTATTGAGATAGACAGCTGTATGAAAAGCATTATCCCAAAAAGAGATAAGCATGGAGGCTTGAGAAAGTAGAGATAGGCCCATTTTAACTATATGGAAGTGTTTACATTCAACTAAATGAGTTGGTTAGACCCAAACCCACATTCTTAGAGAGATATAGCTTGGATCAAACCTGTGAGAGCAAACAAAGGCATCATGTCTAGGTTTATGGAAAACCTGAATCAACCTCCTCTACCATGATAACTAAAATTTCTTGAACCAGCAAATTGAGGAAAAATTAGAGGAGGTAGTGTTTGGCTTAAAACTAACCTGAGAGGCACTTGTATATAGAATCTGAAACTTTTGATGCCCGTGATATTAAGTGAGACAATATCATTTACTGATTTGAAATTCTCAGTTTGATGTTCATGTGCCATAAGAACTGAAGAGCTTCAATTTCATCGAGAATATACTTTGTCCATGACACAACAATTTCTCTTTGATCTTGCAACTTTTACCCCCAAAAAATATTTTAAGGACCCAAGGTTTTAAAATCAAACTTTGCAAGTTTTCGACTAATTTATTTCACTGAAATCATCTTTAGTAGTCGCAATGTTGTACTGTTGAGAGTAATGTGAATGGAGAGAACATATTCCTTATGGATTGCAAAGCAAAAGATGTGTTTAAATACAAAGTAGTGGGCCTAGGCCCATAAGATAAAAACTATAAGATAAAAAACTATAAGATAAAATTATATCTAACACTCCCCCTCAAGCTGGTGTATATAGATCATATGCACCAAGCTTGTTACAAATATAATCAATCCTAGGACCCCGTAATGATTTGGTGAAGACATCTGCCAACTGATCAGTAGAGTTAACAAACTGAGTAGTAATGTCCCCAGATAAAATCTTCTCACGAATGAAGTGACAATCTATTTCAATGTGTTTGGTCCTCTCGTGAAATACTGGATTTGAGGCAATATGAAGGGCAGCTTGGTTATCACATATGAGAGTCATCTGTGTAACTTCGCCAAATCTCAGTTCTTTAAGCAACTGTTTGAGCCAAATAAGCTCACACGTAGCAGAGGCCATGGCACGGTATTCTGCTTCTGCACTAGATCTTGCCACTACATTCTGCTTCTTACTTTTCCACGAAATCAAGTTATCACCAATAAAGACACAATAACCTGAGGTGGATCTCCTGTCAGAGGGAGAGCCTGCCCAATCTGCATCTGAGTATCCCACAACTTGGGTATGATTGTTGTAGCCATATAATAAACCTTTTCCTGGAGCACCTTTGATATACTTCAGAATGCGGATGACTGCATTCCAATGTCCTGCACATGGAGAATTGAGAAATTGACTCACCACACTAACCGCAAAAGAGATGTCAGGACGAGTTACCGTGAGATAGTTCAATTTCCCAACCAGTCTTCTGTACCTCTCAGGATCTGAGAAAGGCTCTCCCTGACTTGGTAGAAGTTTAGCATTAGGATCCATAGGTGTATCAACGAGCTTGGAATTCATTAGCCCAGTTTCCTCTAAAATATCCAATGCATACTTTCTTTGAGATATTACAATTCCATTTGTAGATTGCGCTACCTCAATCCCCAAGAAATACCTAAGTTTACCAAGGTTTTTTGTCTGAAAGTGATGGCAAAGATGTTGTTTTATCTGAGAAATGCCATGATGATCACTACCAGTGAGAACAATATCATCAACATATACTATCAAGTAGATGCACCCAGCAGTGGAATGTCGATAAAAGACCGAATGATCAGCTTCGCTTCAAGTCATACCAAACTGTTGGACTACAGTACTGAATCTACCAAACCATGCCCTTGGAGACTGCTTAAGACCATAAAGTGATTTGCGGAAAGGCGGCGGACGGCGGCGACAACGAAGAAGAAACCCTAAAAAAAATAGGAAAAAATTGCCGGAAAGAGACACGACAGGATGGGTAGCCGGAAAACGGAATGAGACACCTTCTCCGGGCACCGATGAACAGTGGGTCCACCGGGAGGTCAAGGATTAGGCTTTGATACCATGTTGAGAGTAATGTGAATGGAGAGAACATATTCCTTATGGATTGCAAAGCAAAAGATGTGTTTAAATACAAAGTAGTGGGCCTAGGCCCATAAGATAAAAACTATAAGATAAAAAACTATAAGATAAAATTATATCTAACATGTACAATTAAAAAAACCATTTTTGCTCTAAAAGTGTTTTACAAACATTGTATGGTCACTTTGATATTGAACTTATTTTGTTTCTTAGCAAATTTGGCAAATCTCTCAAACTAATCTCTAGGTGATTGTCTTAGAGATACTTCTGAAGATTGCATACCTTTTGATTAAAATGTGATTCAAAACCTAAGGGTGCATCCACGTAGACTTCTTCCTCCAAATCCCTTTTTAAAAAGGCATTTATCACATACAGTTGTTGTAATGGCCAATCTAAATCTATAGGTAATGACAAAAGAACACTAATGGTTTTTAACTTAGCAATTGGGGCAAAGGTTTATATCTATCATTAGATCCATCTGCCTTATGTTAAACACCCATTTACACCTTACAATTGTCTTTCCTCTAGACAAGTCCTCTTTTTTCCAACTTTGAAGTCTGATTTTCCTGAGTTTTCTTTCTAAAATTGCAATGCATATATGCCCTCTTCTCAAGTGAAATCTATTTAATTCCAATGTTTATAGTTAACCTCTTTAGTTGATTCCTTAATCAAAGCTATATTATGTACGAAATTATAAAAAAAAATGTCCTTGGTTAACATATCTATGGCTAGATTAAAACATTGCCTCAATGTTGGGCTTTGCTATAAACCATTCTTACAAGTCCTTAGTCTCGCCTCTAGGAGTTCCCATCATACATGTGTTGTATAGCTCGAGCAAACACCTTACTTTGCCTCTGCAACACTTTTGATGGAACTTGATCATATGCTTTTTCCATGTCTATAAAATTCATATTTAAGTCTTTCTTTGTTTCAATACCTTTTCATGTAAGATAAATAGCTTCCATTGTATACCTTCATGGCATAAGTTCAAATTGATTTTCCACTATCCTAGTCTCTTAATCTATTTTCAATAACTTTTTCCCCATAATTTCATGGTGTGACTCATAATTTTTTATCTCTTCATAGTTTATACAATGAATATTTTTCAAATTGTTATATAAACTCTTGTAAATTGTTTTGCATCAATTATCTTTATAATTCTCTTATATATAAATAAATTTATTCTGCTGGGTGGAATAATCACTCAAGTATATTCAGAAAATGATATCTCCATTTGTCTTTTTTTACTGTCCTCTTGGATTTTGAATCCTTCCATAAGGGTGATCCTTGCCCATAGTGAAAAGTTTATAAAAATAGTTATCTTCACTTTCTTTGATATCTTAATTTATAACCATTAACCAAAATTTTCTTTCTTTCCTTGGTACATTTAATATCCTAACTTTGTTTCCCTATTTTTGACAAACATATATATCTGTTTTCTTCTTTTTTCCAAGATCTTGGCAAAGCTTTCGGTTGTGGCACAGTCACAAGTCACAACTTTCCTTTTCTCATTAGAGCCTTTTGATACCTTACCCATTTTTTTCCCGATAATGTTTTTATTGCTGTATTCTACAAAATTATTCTCATGGAACGAGGTTGTGTGAAAAATATAATGTCACCTTTATTAGCTTACTTAATGTGATAAATAATTAAATTTTTTTGGAAAGTTATATTGAAACTAAACATAAAAATCTTTGATTCTCAAGAAACATATTTAACTATTTCCTAGGATATTTATGACCAATTAAACAAATTTAAGTCATTCATAGGAATCATCCAGGAATCATGGTTTCTACTTTCTAGGCATGAAAATCTTTTCCTTTTAGCAACTGCATCCTTAAGGTACCAATATTTCAAGTATCAAACCTAATTAGGAATTCCTTAAGTAACTTCTTATGACTTTTTTGTCCAGAAAAGTGATAATACCCTTGCTCATTTTGATAAAGACTTCTCCATGTGTTTGATCGAAAGTTTAGTGTTGTGTAGTAGTAGTTGCCAATTCTTAGATAATACCAATTTAACTCATAGTATCCACAAGTTATGAGTAGGGTATAGTGCCTTTTTTCTCCCCTGCGTATTATGGGTTCTTGTTTAGCAGCTATCATCATGCTTTGGAGATGCTTGCCAGTATGGTATAGTTATTGTTGGCATCATTTGAGATTACAAATGTTCATTTTTGTTTACATTAACAAGTTCTTCAATTGTGCACATGATGAAGTCATGCTTTGTTGTGAACCAACATCCGCAACTAGGTGAGATCAGCCCCAGTGTGAGGGTAAAGGTGATGCACATTTGTGCTACAACATGGATTCATCAAAGTTGAAACATCTAGTGCATGTTTTGGTTAGGATAAATTTTGATGAAATAATTGGTCTTTTTTCCTTTGTTTCAAAAGCACTCAGATAACTGATAAATAGTTAGTTATTTTTCCAAAATACTCTGAAACAGAACTAAACATGCTTTTACTCTTACCTAAAGCTGCAATGACCTCCAGTTGAATGGATCCTTTTAGATGTAGTCTAATGGACCAGTGTTGTATACACCATAGATATAGAGTATAGATGAGTGCAAGTGGTGCAAGTCAATTGTGTCTACCTATCTGTAATCTGTTCCAGTTTTATGATATGGGTAATAGCATAAGCATTTGTTTTTGCATTTCCTAAAACTTGGTACTAACAATGCAATTGGTGGTTGTAGTATGGGAATCATCGTTGGGATACAGCTATGTTTTCTGATCGTGAGCGGCAAGAGAAATTCAACAAACTCATGGTAAGTCTTGATTGAGGCAATAATTAATTACAGGACAGGATAGGATTGTTATTTGTTAGTGTTTCTTCACCTACTAACTCGGTTTGAGTCTGAGGTTGTGTTTGTGCCTATGGCAAATTGTAGGGTGTGAGAGGCGAAGCTAAAGTGGAGCAGAATTCCAACCAAGACACTCTCCGAGCTGAGAAGCAGAAGGAAGTTCAGATCGATCTAGAGAAACAATACACTGCAGGTCTTCGACGAAGAGATGGCCGCACAGTTGGCTTAGGCCTTTAAACGTTCACTTATGTTTCAAGTATCACCCCGTGTTTGTTTGGGAGTTTATATATCTGCATCATCACTTAGCAGCTAGTGGGATTTCCTGATCTAGACAGGCCATGTTATTTCTACGGAATTTCTTATCGTCATTGTACCTAAATTTTTGTTTTTATATCAAACTGGCTTGGCTTAGGTAATTTGGTTTTCTTAAACCCCTGATTTTATTTCTGTTACCGGGTTGGAATGAAATATGTCTAGCAGATGCAACAAGTCTACTGGATTATGAATTTTCAAGTCATTCCGGATATTGTTAATTGTCTGTCAATTTGAGAAATCAACTATTAGGAATGGGTTTTCATAATGCGTCAGCAGAGGCCCAATTTCATACCTTTCCGTTATACAAATGTCTTATTTTTTATGCCTAAAAGGCTTATAGTGTTTTTGGACGAGGAATTTTACAAATTCAAGGAATTTTAAATTCTTGGTATTTGAATTATTTTGATTTCAATTTTTATCATTCTTTAAATATTTTATTTGGATGAGTCAATTCAAATTTTTTAAATTTTAAATTGTTAGGTTGAATATGATAATTTGATTTTATCATAGTGAAATTGATTTTAAAAATATATTTATATGTTGAGATTTTTAAATTAAATTTTATAAAAAATAAATATTAATCCATTTTAAAATATTTAATAATTTTAAAAATTCATATTAGATAAGATTTAATAATTTTAAAAATTAATATAAGATAATATTTAATAATTTTAAAAATATTTTTGAATATCCAATAATTAAAAGAATGAAGAGATAAGATAAAAATATATAGGTGAAACAAGAAAAATAAATATGATAAATTTTAAATTCTCTCATTTTTTAGAGAATTTGAAATTCTATTATTTTAGGGAATTTCACAAATGTTTGGATTTCAAATTCTTTGTAAATTCTTCATCTAAATAAAACATTTCACCTCAAGGAATTTGAAATTCTTCAAATAAATGAATTACCCTATATAAATTCTTCGTCCAAACACATCATTAAGTCACTTAAAAATTGAAATTGAGGTAATTTATAAATAATCTTCTTCCTTAATCTTAATCCACCAAGGTGTCTTTTAAGAAGTTGTGATGGCTGACAAGTGTCAAAAAAGATAATATTTTCAATGTAGTAACTTTAATGATGTAAGTGAACTTATGATTGGAATATTGGTACTAGTAGGATCTAGATTATTCTTGTTCCTTAGTCTAAACTATAAGACTTATTTTGATATGTTTAAAAGTCTTACATCTCTTAAAAATTAAGGTTAAAGATATTTTATAAACATCATTTCTCTTTAATCCATCAAAGTACTTTTTTATGGACAAAATCATGACAGATTAACAAATATTAAAACAAACAATACTTTAAGTGAGGTGATTTTAATGATGTTAACAAACTTAGGAATGGAACACCTTTACTTTATATGAATTTTCACATTTCTTAATATATCATGATCTATTATCTATTTTAATATTATATAATTTATTCTTTAAAAATGTTTAATAATTTTATTGTAAGGGTCATGAATTTTATTTCTTATCAAATAAATTTTTTATTATTACAAAAATAAATATTATATTTCTTTTATATTTTTCTTTTGTTACCAAAAGGAACACATTATAAAATTTTAATAATTTTGTTAATTAGCTATTGAAATGAATTTGACCACTATAATAATTATCAATAATAAAATGTTTACTTTTTTATTTTATTGTGTTTTATGATTGAATTTGTGATCGATTGATATTTTAGCCACTGAAACTAAATTGGTTGCTAACTTATATACAACTTTGTTGCTAATTGGTCGCTAAAGGTTGAACAAATTAAGACTTCCACCAAAGCTTATTAACGATGGATTTAGTCATTGAATTTAGTTACCGAACATATTTGGTCTCTAAATCAGTTGCTAAATTAAAATAGGGACAAATGAATTTTTGTTGCGAATTCAATGACTATTAGCGATTGAAACATATTCGGTGGCTAAATTTGGTGGCTATTTAGACTTTTTCTTGTAGTGAATGTTAGCTTATTTATGAAAACATAATCGTTTTCTTCCACCTAGTGTGTTTGACAAATGAAAAATCATATTGTTAGTGTTGTAAATTGTAAAATGAGAAAGCAAAAGGAAAAAAAAAAAAAAAAGAAGCAAACATGAATTGTCAGATTTAACAGTAACCAAGTATGAACAATATGCAACAAAACATATAACCTAAAAGTCGACTACACATGTTGACTCACATAAAATGAACAAAATATGCACAAACAAGGATAGATAAAAAAGAAGAGGGACTTAGTTCCATATAAGAAAAGCCTTCCATGGCTTTTAGTAGTGTAACAAAATGTTCACTTTGATTACTAACTCCCCTATTGATATTCACAAATAAGTAACATGAGTTGGAAATGTTGAATGAAGTGCACCTAGTGTTTTATTAAACTTACACGTGGGCATTGTGATGAGTCTTCGAGGTTGATGTTTTGTAATCATGGGTAGTGTGAGATGAATTGAAAGAAATATGTGGTAAATGTGTGGTTTTTTTGTCGTAGTGTGAATGGAAAAAAGATGTATGTTACATGTGTGGCAACATTTTGAAGATGTAGTAGCGAGAGCGTTATGATGCAGACTTTGATTTTTAAGCTAAGAGGGTGAAATGAAAAATAAAATAATAAAAGAGCGGGAACATGTGTGATGTAGGAGGGAGAAGTTGATGTTTGAGGAATGTGAAGGAGCGAGAGTAATGAGTGATGTTGTGGAAGAGAAAATGTGAAAGAAAATATGTGTGATATTGAATGTTATATGGATTTATAAGGAAGAGTGAGTTAAAAAAGGAAGAAGGAAAAGTAGTAGCTTCCTGTGTGAAAGAAAGAGAAGAAAGCCCCATCTCTTCTTCATGAGAAAACTAGAAAAAAAACCAACCCCATTTTAGGGGTGGGTGCATGAAAAGAGACCATTGTCTTTTGTGTATATTTTTTCTTGAAACAACTAGGAAGAGTAAATTTAGGTGTGTGTGAGTGAAAGTGCTTATGTGAGAGTGATCAATGAATGTGTAGTTGTTACATTTTAAGCACATGATGAGTCCATTAGATAAGAAAACTTGATTTAAGTATCATATTGAATTTCATTTTTTATTACTTTTAATATTGATGTCCCTTTAATGTGAGACTCAATGTTATCATTAATTAATATATTATTTTATTTAATTATAAATAAATTTAATTTTTTTATCTTACGTGAATGTTCTTATTTTATTGAATTAAAGATTAATTTTATTTACTACTATAACTATTGCATGTCCAAAAGATCTAAAAATATTCTTTCTAATTATTTTGTTTTAAAATTTTATAAAATAATAATACCAATAAGTATGTTAAAGAGAAAGATTTTATAAATAAAAGAATGTGTATAAGAAAGATACAAAAGAAAATGTAATATTCTAATATATAGTTCAAAACACTTAAATTTGTCATGATTGTAATAGTGAATAATAAAGTTTAAAAAATATATTAAAAATTAATTAAAAAAATATTTTATCATATACGAATAAATATATAAATAAATATCAAATAAATAAAAGATAATTAACATGTAAAAAAAATAAAGAAATAAAATTGAAAAAAAATTATATTTCATTTTGGTTTCTTAATGTTTTCATTTCAAATTAAGCTAATAAACTCTATAATAATCTCTTACTTTCACCATATTATAATTTGTTCGACAACAATAAAATTAAAATTAACTTCTTTTATCATCTTACATTAATATTTTTTTATATCTTTTAATTCCTCACTTATTTTTCTTTTCAAATTCAAAACTTTTTTTTTTTTATAAATAATAAAAATATAATACATATCATATTTTATCCAAGAATTGCACCTTTTTTTTTAATTATAAGTGTCAATTTTTTTTATATATATATTATATTTGCATTTAATATTTAGAAATTGATTGATTGATTTTTTTTTTAATTTAAATTTCTTTAAATTTAAACTGGCGTATGAAGTTCGGAACCCGCGTTTTTCATTTGAAATTGGCTTAGAATAGAGCAGAGATCAGAAAAGCCTCTCTTTCTCGTTCCCTCTCTCTCTCTCTCTCTCTCTCGATGGCTCCCCACTTCGTGTTCCCTCGCGCACTGGAAGACCTGGAACACGAAGGACACGAAGACAACATTCTCTACGTCCACAACCCTGTCAACATCGCTTCCCTCGTCTCTTCCCAACTCGAAGAGTTCGTCAAAGGTAAAACAATCTCACTCTCAAATCCACCTCAACCATCCTCAGATTTAATCTGGAATTTCTCCCACAGGTGTGTCGTTTGATCTCTCCGACAAGGAAATCCTGTGCGTGGAGGAGCAGGATGTGTTCGACCGCGTCTACTCCTTGGTTCGCGCCTTCGCCCTTCTCTCCCCTTCCTCCAAGTTGAACCTCCTCGAAACCCTCCGTTCCAACCTCACCGTCCTTCTCCCCAACGTCGATTCCCTCTCCAGGGCCTCCGACGACCACGTTCCCCTCGCCTCTCACCGCAACGCCTTCAAAATATACACCTTCTTCCTCCTCAACATTCTCGCTCAACACTCCAACAATGTCGCCTCCAAGGTTAGTGTAATTTTCATTTTCCACCCAAAATTATTTTCAATTTACAAGTCGGTTTTGTAAGATTGAGTCAGTGTAATTTTCATTTTCCACTTGCGAGATAGCCAAAATAATCTCTGACTTATAAGTTGATTTTGTAAGATTGAGTTATTTTCTGTAATTACTTTTAAGTTGGTATCAGAGCCCATTTTTGTTAATGGGCTTATCAGGCACAAACATCCCACTATTGGGTGTTATCAGATCACCTTTAGATGTTCAGTCTTGTAAACTTCACGCTCTTTAATGTAAAAGGGGTTGTGTAGGGGATCCCATATCGATTAGTGGTGTGGCCATGATAATGTATGTATGTAGAGAGTAATCTTCATCTTATAAGTTGATTTTGTAAGGTTGAGTTAGGCTTCAAAATTACTTTCGATCATCCTTCAGGGACAAGCTTATATCTGTCGAAGACTGATTTTGTTATTGGCCAAGCATGCAGGTAGTGCCTCCAAGCGCTAGGAAGAAACAAGCTGTGAATTCATGGAATTGGGAGGCACAGAGAGCTCGGATACTCAATCTCATTGCCAACTCTTTGGAGATAAACCTTGAATTGCTTTTTGGTTCGCCGGATCTTGATGAAAGCTACTTGTCTTTCATTACAAAGTGAGTGCTTTGTTTATCTTCCACAGTTTGCTTATTTTTTTAAGAGCAAGGTTTCTGAATTGGCACACACTTGCTGTAGAAATGCATTCTCTATGTTTGA